TCTTCCACAACATCTTCGTCCCCGCTTTCCTCCTCTAAATAAAAAATGGATGAAGGAGGAGACTCATCCACGACCTCCGACACAAAACTCTCCTCCTCCTGCATGTTTCCGCTGTCCATAGCGTTCCTTGACAGTAAGGCTATGTTCCCACTGCAGCCTGAAGTGACCCAAATCCGATTTTTTGGCCCATATGTGACCTGGATCTGATCTTTTCATGACAGTCTGAACAACACAGATACGATTTTTTCCAATGCGACCCAGGCCGCATGGCTATGTGGTCCTGACTCCGATACGAATCCGATCTTTTCAAATGCGACCTGTGTCTGAACGGCCACGTCGCATTCATCCGACCTGAACTCCAGTAATATCCGACAAAGGTCACTATTCTGCGTCCTGCTACGCAGAAGCGGCAAGAAAAACAACAACAATGGTGGATGATGATGCGGAGAGCAGTATGTTTAACCATATTGAAAAAGTTGAGTTTTTATGGTTGTAAAAGAGCCCTGGATGCACGCCGGCACTGCCATCCATGTTTACTCCCGTAAACAAAGAGCACCCTGGCCTGTGATGCTATTGCGTCCTCTACTGCGCATGGGGGACACTTGCGTTGTATGACTGCAGTTCACACAGGAGATCACATACAAGTCGCATATACTTGGAAATATGAACGGCAACACACAAAAAAAATAAATAAATCAGATTTCGCAAAAAAATTGAGCATCCAGTCAACAATTTAATGCTACTTGATTTTAATGTAATTTCCCATTGGGAACCTACTAGCACTAAGTTGCTAACTGGTTAGCAATTTAGTGCTACTTGGTCCCAATGGAATTTCCCATTGGGAACCTACTAGCACTAAGTTGCTAACTGGTTAGCAAGATGCTTCCGACAAACCGGCTACAACCACTTTGCGAACTTTCTGCCACAATAATCCTGCCCCCGTTGCTAATTAACCAATCAAATTCACTTTATTCACTCGTGTAAAGTCGTGCCCCACTTGGGAGAATTCGGAAATGCAACGGTTGGAACAGCCGCTTCTCTACGACTTAAACATGGTATAAACTTGCCAACATTTTGGGTTGCAGAGATCATTTGTTTTTGTTCCATTTACAATAATTGTTCAGTGCAACTGAACCAGCGTGTAGTCTGCTGTTTTCTTACAGGTCTGTTACTAATTTCTGTTCATCAGAAAGCCATAACTAGCTACAGCTGTGCAGAACGACTAAAGTTGATGCATTTCTTGTCCAACTATTTTTTTTTTTTTAGCAATTTCTATTTCTAATTTGTTCCTGATGAAACCTGTTTCCTTTCCTTCCATCCCCTCACAATGAAAATAGTTACTTCATGTCTTTATTTCCCTTTTTATTGATAGCTGAAAATGTGATTCCAGGCTTATTATCCCGTGTGGAAACGTTTACTTCCATGGCCAAAGTTTGCTGTGAAATCCAAGCTCTTCTGTGTGTATCTGTATTCTAAATGGTTCGGATGCTTAGAATCCTTTAGTGTTTGTAAAGATACAATGAGCCTTACACCAAAACCAAGTTTTTTATTAAGACGTGGCAATTATGATCAGGTTTCTGTCCATCATCGGCAGAATGGGCGCTCTCTTTACAGCAGACAGATGGGATTTCTCTCTGCAGGCTGGACAGGTGTGTGCGTGGGTCTGTGTCTCAGTTTTGAACAAAGGAACCAGAGAGGATGATGTCATCTTTTAACCGTTGTGAGCCTGTTTTAGTGTGGCGGGACCACAAGGAGGGGGGGGTGGCATTCTGAGGTCACCTTTTTAACACGCAAAGGAATGGCTCAGCCACATTTTTAATAATTGAAGCTCCATCTTATGGATGATTGGTTCTGCAACACACCAAAGCTTTCCACATATGTAGACATACTCACACTGGGCCCCTCTGGACAGTACGGGGTTGCAAATGTTTTTTTGTTTTTTTACTTTGGAGACTAATGAAACCTAACCTCAGGAAGGAAAAAATGGCCTTTCTTCATTAGTGTCTGTCATGATGTAATCTGCATCATAGCAGCTGCTTCACTAATCTGTCAGTGTGTGTTAATATGTGACGTGAGAGAAAGTGGATCACATACGATGCTCCTCATGTGGTCTTAACCCTGAAAACTCCCCAAGAGTTCCTGAGATTTGGAGAAAAAAAGTCGACACTCTGAGCGAAAAGCTGAAACTTTTTCTTCTGTTTGCTGTAAAGTTATTGAGCTGGTTTGTCTGGACAAAGAAACTGAAAAATAAATATATATATTTAGGTGTTAACTAATTGTAGAATCAAACACATTCACTTGATTCACTCGTGTAAAGTCGTGCACCACTCGGGAGAATTCGGAAATGCAACGGTTGGAACAGCGGCTTCCCTACAACTTTAAAGATTCATCCTTTATAAGGAATTCAGAATCCTCAATTTTACTGATAGAAATCAGACATTAAGGATCATTAATCCTATTTCCAGATGGAAGTTTAAAGCACAGAGTTACAGATAATTAGCAGAAATATGACATAAATCACTGCCTTGTGGCAAAGATACAAGTGTTTGAAATCATAAACGGTATCTTTGTTTCTGTTGGGAGATCTTTGGGCGTACGGAGTGAATTTTGTTCCACTGTTTTGCAGGCTACAAACTATTTTTTGTAAATGGAAATTTGAAAGAAATGCAATCTATTCAATTTAAAACTTCCTAATCAAAAATGTTTTAAGAGTAACACTGCTGATTTCTAAGATGTGCATTTCCAAAGTTCTCTTTTTCAGATTGATTTTTACTGATTCATATTCTATTCACAAAATCGTATTAAAGAGAATGAAATCTGTAAAATGCGATTTGTAAATCTCAATCTAAAAAAAAGACAAAATTAGAAAAAGAATAGAATTTTAAAGTGTAAAACCTGTGAAAAACAAAAATTAAGGTAGAAAATATTCATTTGAAACAAGAAAATATAAAATAAATGTAACCTAAAAATTAATTTAAGAAAAATTGCTTAATTAAAAAAAAAGGTTTTCAAAGTAACTGTTGCCGTTTTCTCAGATTTTACTTCCTCCAATCATTTTATTTTTGTCAAATTTTTTGTTTAAGTTTTTCAAATTTTTTTTGTTTTTGTTTAGTGTTTTATAAATGCCGTTCTTTTCAAACAACATTTTACGGATCACATTTTCATCCCTTCCTGGGGGTTGTTTCTCTTGGTTTCTATTGGTCTGGGTAGGGCTTTATTTCAACTAAGATCTCTAATGTCCTTTAGACACATCATGGTGAAGGTAGTTTTATCAGATTTAGATAGTAGAGTTTTAATGCTTTTTATTGGAATATTATGGGTTCTTTAAAGATTGTGATTGAGGCTTCTTTTTCATTGGTCATACATTGCTGATTAGTTTGACCTTTAGTCTCAGTTTAAATGTCTGATGGTTGCATTTTAGTTTTTGATGACCTCCTTAATTCATAATAAACACAAGCAAGGTGTGTTTAAAAAAAAAAAAAAAAAAAAAAGCATTAATTTGACAGAAATTTCTCCCTCATGTTGTCTTGTCTGTGACTCGGATTTGTTAATCTGTTTTACAAAGTTCTATGCTGTCCTCCAAAGTCACTGGAATAATGATAGTTGGATGTTTAGAATAGATCTTTTTCTTTCCATCTGTGTTGGTTATGTTATTTTTTTAAGCAATATGTCTTCCTGCCTGCTGCTAAAGTTCCCAGAGTTTAGCACCAGCTCAAATGTGTTCTCCTGTCACTTTGGCAGTTTGTCCCCCTCAGCCTGCCTTGACCTTTTTCGCTAACCCCGCCCTCACATACATCTACACACGCTCTCACACGTCTCCAGTGGCTTAACCCAAATGGTTTAATCTCTCAGCACTCAGGCTGCGGGCCGCACCGGCTGCTCTAGGAGCCGGAGGGCCGGAGGTTCATGTGTCCGAGCCCCCCTTTTCTCTCAAAGAAAGCTGATCATGTGACAGTATAGAGGTATATGAAATGACACGGTCGCACAAACGTGATGCAGACATATTTCCCCTCTTTTTTTCTGGTTGTGGTGACATTTGAGCACTGGTAAAACGATCTAGAAAAAAGTTTACCCTTGATTTGAATAGGTAAATGAGATAGTTTGCCAATGGAATGAGTATTTTTACTCTTTAAATAAGATAATTCGGCAATATGCACTAGAAATAAGACAATCCAATTGTGTTTTTTTTATTTTAAATGTAAATTGTCTTGTTCCATTTGCAAAATGTCTCTTATATCTCCTCAGTTCAAGAACAAATACACTTATTTTAAGAAAAAAATCCTTCTCTAGATTTCAATTCTTTCCAGTGTGGTTAGGCTGTACTGTCTGTCGACCGCTTCTGTCTCTAAATGCATGTTTACTACCTATATTTATCAATGATTTTAAACTTACTATTGATTTTTCTTTTTTTTAGATTAAGTGATAACGTTGCTTTTAACTAAACTTAATTTTTTGGTTTCCTTCTTAGACAGTTTAGTGGAAGATAAAGAGGCATTCACTTTTTGCCGCTCTAGGGGTCGTTAACACTAGACAAGCATGCTGTGTTTTACTGGACTATGTTTTGCGCTCTTTTGCTGTATGCTTATTTTATTTTTATTTCTTTCCTTAAGTCCACACTGAAAACACTGTGTTAAGTCTCTTAAAGAATGCTGAATGTCTGGATGTTCGTCTGTGATTCCCCATGCCATTGTGGCAGAAAATAACTTGTTTTCAATGTGGTTTTTTAGGCTTTACGACCAAATGAATCACTCTGAATGCTTTTTCAGCTCATAAAACTGTCATTCTGGAGGTTTTTTGACTCCTAGCATCAGTCTCCAAAGCTTGGAAATTCATTTCTGGCCCTTGTAAACAAGATGGGAAAAGAAAAAGTGTTTAAAAGTCTCTTTGTTCCATCGATTGCTCTATAATGGAACCATTCAGCTGAAAAATGGGCACACAGATTGAGAAATTATGGGTTTATATTTTTCTCATCCCTTTCTGTTTGTTCTTCTTTTTTCCAGGGTCGACATGTTAAGACGGGACAGCTGGCCGCCATCAAGGTCATGGACGTCACAGAAGTCAGTGAGATCTTTTAGTCTTTTATTGTGAAAAAGTCATTAAACCCAGTGTGCAGTGTGTCCTGGTGATGATGGCTGAACAGAGGGACCTACACTGCTCTGAAACTGTTTAAATATTTTGGAAAGCTGCAAGCTAGTGTTTAAATGATTTTTTTTATAAGTGGTATTAACAGATTTGTTATATCTGATGCTTTCTAATGTTTGCATACAAAAAGGCAGAACATTGTGATTTTAAATGATGCTGTTTCAGGTAAATGAGGCCAAGTTATGCCCATTTATATGGAGTGAATTCTTCTCCTTTATTTTTGCAAAGCAAAGAACAGGTATTCTAGATGGAAATTCTGTAAAAAGAAATCCAGAAATTGAAACATTTAAAAAGGTTTTATTCATATAAGGTTTTGAGAGTAACTTGGCATTTTTTACATTTTTTCCCTTTTTTTTCTATATATTTTTTCCAATGTTATTTTTTAAAAGAGTTTATATTTTACAATTTAATTTTTTCAAATTTTTTTTATTTTATTTTATTTTTTTTTATATGTTCCAGTGGGCCAACCCCTACATCAGCATTTTCTGTGCTCTCATTTGTTAGTTAAAGAGGGTTAAGTTAGCTGCATTTTTTTTAGATCCGCTTTTGTTAAAGGTTTTTCTGGCTGATATTAAATGGAAATACTAAGACTTCCTGCACAAAGACAGAAGGATGGATTCTCCTACCTACCACTGGCAAACACACACACATATATTAGTTAAAAACATTCTTATTGTGTGCGCATCAAGAGCGAGTGTTTTTATTGGGCTTCAAATAAAGAGAATGTGATCAGATCCAATTTACAACAATACAGTTTGTAAAAATCCATCTGAAAACAGGAAATAAAGAATAATGATTTAGAAATAATAAATCTGCAAAGAATTCAAAATTAAACAATTAAAACATTAAAATATATATTTTTTGAAATATCAAAATCTAAGAAAACAGCAGATTTCTTTGTTTTTTTAGCTTTATTTCTTTATTACATTTGTTTTTTTTTATTTTAATCTACAAAATATGTTCTTCGCTCTCTATATAAGATATAATTCCTGTTGAGATTAAAACATTACATCAGAACAATACAAACCCTTTTTTGGTACAGATTTCTTGGTTTATTGAAATATACATGTAGTAGCTGTTTAAAGTTAGTATTAGAAAAAAAAAATCTTAATCAGACATAAAAGCCTAAAATATTCCAATTTACTAGATATGACTGTGCAGCTTGGAATAACCTCATGGCAATGTGCATTTCAGGAAGTAGACGGACCCTGAGTCAGAGAGACAGATCTGTTTTAGTCCAATATGTGTGAATAACCGCAGGACAAAGACTAAAAACTGAATAAAAACTGTAAAAAACTGGCTGTAGCAGTTAAAAGGGAATGGGTCCTGTACCAAAATGGCGGGAAGGTCAATTAAAACAAGCCAGCAAAGCAAAATAATGGAAACAGAGACAACGACCCTCATTGTTGGAGACTTTATTCTAAAGAAATCATATTTAGTATTTGGTCATTATTTTGTTACCTTATATTTTGCCAAAAAGCGAGAAAGCTTGAAAACAATGAAACACCATCCTAACTGTCCTGTAGCTGTTCTGCAAGAAAGGACTGGTGACTTTTATAATGTGTAAATACTGAAGCAACAACACAAGACATCAGGCAATAATTAAATAGGCAAGGGCTTTTAGGAAAATCCAAACCATATAATCTTGAGCAAAAGAAATATGGCTTTATGGTATCATGGTTATAATTTAAGCTCCTTTCCTGAAATCTCTAAATTAGAGAAAATAAGAAAAAATAAAATGCTTGCTAAATTGTGGGTTGATCTTCAGTACTCTCTATAGTCAGTTAACTCCAAACAGTCTGCCTCAGTAACATGGTGGTATTTTTGTCACTCAATGCTAAGGTAGCTGTTTATTTAAAAAAAACATCTTTACCTTGATTTGATCAAATAGTGTGAGGTCATGCTCCTGCCAGATAAGCATATTAGCTATGTTCCTTCCTCTGGCTTGTCAGGATTATTATTATTGATGATGTGTGAGCCGGTGGTGAGGCTGAAAGCATGTAGAAGCAGCATTACCATATAGGTGACTGTAATGCGTTACGTAGAGTAGTACATTAGTGCGCACATCTCTAAGCAGGGTGAAATTTGGACCAGTCCCCTCCTTAAGTTATCATCTCACCTGTAGAGCTAGCAACTATAATGATTAGGTGAAGCCAATGTAAAACTCTGAAGTTTAATAAAGCGTATTTGAGTAAAGCTCTACCAAAGCTGTCAGAAGGAACTGGACACATCCATTTGTGAGCAGCTTGTCAAGGGAAACTTAAAAAGTGTTACTCGTAATAATACAGTTTAAAGTAATACTACTAAATATTAAGGAAATGCATGTAGATGCCTAATTTAGAAGAACAAAAAACATTTTAGTAGTCAAGCGATACAAATAAGAAAACTTTTGTTTAATTTATTGTCAACCATTGGTAAACCCTGGCCTGACGTAGTCCGACTCAATTCTAGTCAGAATATGAGTCTGATACTGCTCCATAGAGCTGTGATTATGGGGCGTGTTTCGAACGAACCAGAAAAAAAAATTGCCTCTGCACTCAATTGGATAGACCTACAACCAATAAGAGCAACGGAGTGCGTGACGTATGTTAAGCGACGCATAGTTGTTGTCAACAAAAATCAAAGCGTGCAGTTGCACGCCTAGAATAAGAAGATGAGACTTGATCGCGTTTCTCTGTTCCTCTTTTAAAATTAATTTGCTGTCGATATCTTCTAGAACAGACCTAATAGCAGAATCTACACACCTCAACTCTCTAGCGGCAGCCATTGTTGTTGTCACCCAAGCGCGCTTTGGTGACGTGGTTGATTACGTCACTGTTGATCATCTGTCCATCATCGTATAAAGCCCGCCCCGACAATTTGATTGGCCCGCCAGATATTGTGCGAGCATACTCCCGCTACTATTGAGCAATGCCAGACCGAACTTCCTGACCTCAAACATTGTGGGCGGGACTAAGGTCGGAATGGCACCCAGGCTAGGTAAACCCCCCCAGAAAAAATGTAGATCTTTTTAAATATTTGCTTTAAATTCCCCTTAATAGACAACTCAGGGAATAATAGTCTAGAGAACATGTTTCTATGACAGATCTGTTTTTGTTGTCCATTCAGCCTTCCTGTTATCAGATGAATAGCTTGCTCTCTCTTGCAGCTGCAGTGCGCCACAGAAAAGGCCTCAACTTGTCATTTATGTGTGACCTATTTTTCTAAATGGCTCATTGGTGCTTAAGAGCCTTTACTCAGTAACAGAAGCCACACTGAAGAGTGTTTTTGTCAATGCTACTTGGTTGTGCTCAGCGAGCTAACACCACGATTAATAAAACACTGTATTATTGAGCTTCGAGCTGCTGGTCAGGGCTAATCAAGCTGGAAATGGAGGCTTAAGAGACTAAATCAGATTATTTCTGAGAAAATGTAGAATATTCAGCTATAGCTGAAAACTGTTGAGTGTTTTTCCCTTTATCTAGGATGAACACCTCTTGCATTATGTGTTGAAGCTTGAATATTTGCTTCTTCTGCAGCTTTCCCTGCCTTTATTTCCATCCCTGGTGATTTTCCTTTGACTGCAGCCTGACACACCTCCAGGTAGACAACTGCCTAAGCAGTTTGAGCCTTCAGCCGAGACTTTAACATGCAGGAATATATTTTGCTTGAAGATGAAGATGAACATGTTATCTAAAAAACGATAATGAAATCATAAAGGAGTATTTCGTTTAAAGTTCCTATAGTTTTTTTATTTAGCTTTCCTCACCAATGAAGTTACCCCAGCTGGAGCTGTCCACTTAATTTCTGCCTCCTCTTGTTGTTTCTGTCAGACAAAATTCACAGCTTTAACAAATGTTAAAGTCACATGCCAGATTTTAGAAGCCATGCTTAGAAATCCACTTGGTAAAATCCACTGATAAAATGCTAAAAAAAATAAAACCCACCAGGACAATAGGAGGGAGAGTCTTCCCATGGCTGGCCGGCGTTCTGTCAGATCAGCATACCCATAGTTAATATGCATGCGCAAGATGTCAGACTTGCATACAAGTATA